TATCGACATCAAGAATAAGCCGTATCATTGATTGGACATCACTTAAGTATTAAACCTCCTTTATATTATTGTTATATTATTTAGTTTTCAAAATATAAATATATTGTTATCATATTTTAATTGCTGTTTTTACTTTCTGTTATTTTCGAACGTAACAATACACAAATAAGCAAGTACTTAGAAGTGATGGAGGACTTAGAAATGCAAAAATAAACATTGCAAACACTCAATTTATCAAAATTTATTTATTAGATATATATTATGTATATATTATACAGTTGTATGTACATTAGACAGTTGCTGTATAATTATGAAAATCTATGACAGGAAAATGAACAAATTGGAAATAAAAAATAAAAAGGGCACCAATCAGCTGATAGGTGAGTAATGAATTCTTTGTATTTTTTGTATCATCCTCAACTCAAATAACAAACCAGAACACATGTATCCCCCCGATGTACCCAGCCAGAAATACATACACTTAAACATATAAGACTCGAATACTAGATACACTAAATTAAATTGATACAGGTAATTTTGATCCAGAATGATATTTAGAGTACTTTCATTTTTAGCTATAAGTATAATTTAAATTGACTTTGATGATACATTTTAATTCTACTTGTTAATGTTATGGCAATAAAAAATTGTAGTGATGCATGTGGTCAGATAAATACAGCATAGGCATTAAGCTCTAGCTAGTCCAATAAGATTCACTGCCTGGCTTATCTTACTAATTACCTTATTAGATGTTTAATGTTAAGAAGCGCCAACTAGTATCTGTTTACATAACTAGGATTAAATCTACATAGCTGGCAGCCAGTGCTTTAGACTACTTGTAATGGGGTGGCTAATTACTTTACTGAATGAGGAATGTTTATCCAAACAATGGATACAAAGAAAATCTGGCCAGTTGTCCATCAGTAAATAAATCATCATGATAAAAGTATAATTTATTAAAGCATCCATTTGTTACCGTTCTGAATCCAAATGATACATAGGTGCATCCATTTTATACATATATGGTGACGTTTACGAAATGTTTTTCAAATATCTTCCCTATAACAGGAATATGGTAGCTGAAACTTTCACACATTGTCATACTATGTATATTGAATATGTGTGCAAGATTTCAAGTCACAATGTTAAGTAGAAACTCTGAGATCACTTACCTCGATTTGCTGTCATATTTTTGCAATGATCCCATTCCCTATAATGTACGCGAGTACCCACGATACATTACATATAAATGACTGCATCCACATAGATCGACTAGCCACAGTGTAGAAAGTAGAATGAATTCCCTAGAGCATGTGCTATACAGTATCGCCGTGTGAACTTGCTGTGAAACATAATCTCAATTTCCGTAGGACAAGGTCACCATTTTTCATGAAATGGTATGATTTATTCCGTATTAATGTCAACAAAACCACTAATACGGAACGGTGTAAACGCGACCGTGTAGAAAGTAGACTAATCTGACGTCATTTCCTGCGCGCGCATAGAAGTACACGTTCATGCTTTGTTGAATACGCGTCTGTAAAGTGTAAATTGCACCAATCTCATGTAAAAACCCGTAAACTTCACGCTGTCTTCGCTGGCCTACAGGACATAAACAAATCTGACGTCATTTATCTGCGCGCGCATCGAAGTTCACGTTCAAGTTTTGTTCAATACGTGAAGCTTAACCTCTCTATTCTTAACCTCCCTAATACTTCTAGACACCGGTGATTTGAATTTCCATAGTCTCTTATAATGGTCTTAATATTAAGATTACTTTTGTGCGGAGAAGGCAATTCATTTACAACATGTGATATTGATTTCCGTGTATTAATTTTGTATTTCCTATTGTTAACAGTGGTAAAATTGTACTTAATTTTTCATTTTATTGAATCGTAAGACTGACCACTTTGAATGATTAAACTAAACTATAATGAGTGATGAGTATCAGAATGTATGTTATTTGGGTGCATTTCTGTCGATCACATTTGTACGTTGTTATTGTAATGGGCCGTCTCATATTAGTTAAAGAAGTTTCTGGGGAACTTTCCAATGAATGAGTCAGTCTGGTAATTATAAAGTAATTTTACAAGCATATTAACCCTTGGTTCCTCAGGATTAAATTAAAAAACACATTAATAGAACTATTTGCAGAAGTCATCCCCGTGGTGACATGTGAGTTGAGTTTTGATATTAATATATTAAATGATAATTTTAGCAAATCCAAATAAGGAAGGACAGTTTGCCTACTTCGCACCTCAAAGGGACAGATTAAAAGAAGAGCTAGCTAGTCGAATGGATAGGATGACGATTGTAGCAGAAGATAATGCAGAACTATTGAAAAAAACTAATGAACAATTGAAGCAATTGAAGCAATAAAGAGTAATGACGTGATGCGAGAATATAGGAGAGAGGTTGAGTTACAACTTGCTGAGAAAGATCTTGAAGTTAAGAATCTAAAATATAAATTGGCGATGTTAGAAAGTAAGTATGAAAAGCAAAAACATCAGTTAGAATCGCAAAATATACATGATATAGAGTTGGATGAGTTGA